CCCGCAATTTATACATTTTCATATCCAGTTATTTTTAAATTTGTCAACCCTGTATTTTATCTTTTTTCTTTCGTGTGTAATTGATTATATATTTTTTATTATTTAATGATATCAGTATTTAATTACTTCAGCTTTTATTTTTTCCTTAACATTTTATTATGTCATCTCCTTACATCAACATATTGTATAGATATAGATACTATCTCTTTAGATTATCAAGGAGATATGCAAATATTAAAGGACCCCAGTGATAATGTTATACATTCCTCAACTGTCTTACCTTTGGTGCCTGATGATCTTGGTAAACTTCTTATATTGGCTATATATACTAGAGGTACATTAGACAAGTATATATTATCTGGCTCTTATTACTATAGATCTACTTCTAATGATACTAGAGTTATGTTATTTGCAACTGGCAGGAGACTTATATGTGTTTTTGGTGCCTTAGAGCAAGTTGATTTTTTAATTGAAGGTACTAATGGTGATGCTGTAATAACTCATAAAGGTTTTACTTTTTTATTCAACACCCTTACATTGAAACCTCCTAGTGAATCTGTTAAATTCAATTTTTGGGATAATTTCTTTTATAGGTGCCATCTAACAAATAAATTAAGTCATGTAAGACAAATAAGTAATGATGTAGTTCAATCTTGGCATATAGTTACACCACCTGCTAATTGGAATTATATTACATCAACAATATATCCAAAAGATATTAAGGTTGAAGGAATAATATCACTAGTCACTATAAATGATGGTGAAGAATTTCAAATTAAAGACTTTGTTGAAGATAAATCTTCAATTATAATAAGTCCTAATAATAGACTTCAAAGTGTTATTGTTAGGTCATCCAATCTTTTTATAGGGATCATACTTCCACCCAATATGAATTATACTATTAATATACCAGTTGGTATGATATATGCATCAAATGGTAATACCTTCTATATCCCTAAAGGCCTTTTTTCTGATACTTATATTAGATATTATACTAATTCTCCATGGGGATATGAAATTTCCTTTGATAAAGATTTAAATCAGGTCATTATCTTTACTAAAGATAAAATGAAATTTGGTGGATCAACTACAAAATCAGTTGATGGTTCATCTACATCTGATGTTAAACCAATTGAACAACCACCATCTGGTGAATCATCTGCACCTCACATTAAACCAATTGAACAACCACCATCTGGTGAATCATCTGCACCTCACATTAAACCAATTGAACAACCACCATCTGGTGAATCATCTGCACCTCACATTAAACCAATTGAACAACCACCATCTGGTGAATCATCTACACCTCACATTAAACCAATTGAACAACCACCATCTGATGAATCATCTGCACCTCACATTAAACCAAATGAACCATCAAAATTATCTAATCAAAAAAATCAATCTTTAAAATCTCTTCTATATTCTCTTTGGGGAAGATTCAGAATGTTGTTTATGTAAAAATTGCTAATATTTTGTATAGGTTGCTAATTAGATATAATTAAAATTTATAGTTTGTATAATTTACTTTGTCTTGATTATGTCGTTTATTAAATATAATATTAAAGTCTCTAACTAATTAATTAATCAAATATCTCATATTACTAAACCAATCCTATATAATCTAGTGTCAATCTAACTTATATAATAACAAATAATTGAAATATATTTCATTCAATTCTCCAGACTTTATTCTTAATTTAATCATTGTTCTATTATATTTATCACTTTTTCTTTTTTTTTGAAATACAATTTTAGAGAGTAATTATCTTTCATTATCTAAAAATTTTATCTAATTAAATTAATTTTACAATAAAATTTCTTAAATATATTTAAATATATCTTTTTTTTCTTTTTCTGAAAAAATTCCAAT